ACCTGTTTCTGTTTTTTTTTTAATTTCAGTAGCAGTCATATCTGCATTGGGTATAACATGTTCACACTTGGCTTCCACACATGCAGACAGATATTTTTTTCCCTGCAGGCTAATACATGTAATTGCTTCATATTTTTAGGGAAAAAAGAGACAACAGTAATGTGCATAACCTTGGAGCCCATTAAGTTGCCCAGTAACCACCAAGCATTTTTTTTACTGTTGCTTCCTTTTACTCAGCAGTAAATGTTGTGCCTTGAAGATGGCAGATTTGAATGAGACTGATACACCCCACAAATACTACTATTTTTTACTGTACTTATATATTTTCATGGATCTTTAGAGGTCTCTGTTTCTTTTACTTACAGCTTAATTCCCATCTCTTCTTTGACCTTAACTAACAGATCCTAGAATTGACCTTGCCAGACACTTGCTTTTCCCGTGTATGGCCAACACTAATTTGGCAAGAGAAGCTAAAAGGTGAAAGAAATGATAATAGGAATTAGTGAAAGCTAGCAGTATTAGTTACTTAGAAAATGCTTGCCAGTGTTTATATACCAGACATAGGACTTTATTTGCTAAAGCCGGAAAGTGCAAAATCAGGCTCATTTTTGCAAAGAAACCAATCAGCTTCTAACTTCATTTTGCTCAGTTAAGCTTTCCTAATAAAACCTGGGACTTGAAGCTCATTGGTTTTAATGCAGAAATTAGCCTGATTTTGCACTCTCCAGCTTTAGTAAATAAATCCCCCTAGTGTTCATTACTGTATGGATAATTAAAGTGAACTGATATACCAGAAATTTGTGAAGCTGTTGGAAAAGAAATAATAGTAGGATCTGAATAGAATTAAATGTAATATTGCAATAGACTGTAGCTGCACTAAAGATGATGCTGAAGAAGTATAAAAAATGCTGCATCTACTAGTGGTAATGACTCAAAGCAGCACTACTGATCTTTGGAGGTCCAAAAACAGTGAAGAACCAAATGCAGTCTAACTAATGGTGAGGATTCCAAGAAGCACAGGGAACTATGGGGTTTATTTCCCAAAACTGGAGAGTGGAAAATCTGGTGCAGCTCTGCATTGAAACTAATTAGCTTCCAGGTTTTATTGCCAAAGCTTAATTTAACAAGCTGAAGTTAGAAAGTGATTAGCTGCCATGCACAGCTGCACCATATTTTGCTCTTTCCAATTTCAGATAATCAACTCCATGTGTACATCAGAAACTTTTCTATGGGGTTGTGTCTGTTGATACAACCACTCTTCACTGGCAGGAAGCCACTGGAAGGTCTACAAGGCAGCATGGGAGAGTTCACCAAAAGTCTGCAAAACTTCACTTGCTCAACATAAGCTTTGACCTGGAAAAAATTCACTCATCTCTAGTTCTCAGCTATCAGTGAGCATGCTTCTAATCTGATCCCAATCACTGTTTTTTTGGTGCCTGCTTGAAAATAACAATAGCACCTGATCAGTTCCTAAAGGCACAATAATAATTGAGGCTGAGGCAGGCCATAGAAGATGCATTTTTCTTTAGTGCAAACATGGGGTGCTGAAAAGAAAAACACTTGATTTCCCCATCAACACAGTCAGTTGATGGCCATTCCTGCTGGGAGAACACAGTTATTATTGCTAGCTGCTATAGCCACTGGCAATAATCACATGTAAAAATCGGATATGTTGGTTGTACCCAAGTCGTACAACAATTGAATGGGTACAATCAATCTACACATAGATGGCTTGAATCTAGGCTGGTCCCAGCTGAAATGGCCAAGATTCGAAACATCTAAGGGCAGATTTTTGAATGCTCTGCTAAAGTTTGGATTGGTGATACCTAAAATTATCTATCTATTCTGCATGATTATATTTTGTGAGCTATATTAGTAGGGCTTAGACATTCATTAAAGTATATTTGAAGCTCAAATCTTTTTTTTCATTTTGGATATAGTAGGGGAGGGTTAAAAAACTGCTGTTACATTTTTCTTTTTTCCATGTGTGTCTCATTGGGGGATTTTCCTTTCCACCCTATCCTTCAAACTTAACTGAAGGTGATTTCAAATGTGAATGAAATCCCCTCATGCTACAGTTGACATGGGAATAAGCATCCCCTCTGGACTATTTCCCCTCTATACCTGCTCTGCTGTCAACTCCAATTTTGGATTTACTCCCACTTTCATTCTCTGTGACACTGGTGATCAGGACAGTTAGAGAGAATGCCTTTCACAGATGAAGACCCAGAAACCACAAGGACACTTTAACTGCCAGCAAAAAAGAACGTGAAAAGAGATTCACAGAAAAGCGGTTACATAATGGACAGAAAGCGATACTCAAAGTAGTTAAAAAAATTATGCTTTATTACACAATACACATATGGACATATACAGGGGCGGACTGACCATTTGGAAATTCGGACACTGCCGAGGGCCCGGGGCCAGTAGGGGGCCCCATGAGATGCCCCTTGTACCTTTTTCATAGGCTTTTTTGAGTTTGGGCAAGGACACAGGGGCCCCATGATCCCCTATTGTCCGGGGACCCCATGAGTTGTCAGTCCACCCCTGTACATATAAGGTAACTACCTCAGTTAGCCATCACCTCAGTATGAGATAATACATCAAAATTGACCTAAAATCACTTAAAAACATACGTCTATCGGCGAAAGACATTGACGTCATACGTCAGATACGTCACTTTCAGTCAGACGCCTTGGCGCCACACACGCAGTCCTTCAGGGGAGGCGGTAATACACGCCGGCATTTGGCGGTGTCAGGCTGCACGAGTACCAGGATGGGAGCGGAGCCCGTCTGCTTCTAGTCCCGATAGTGGCGGCTGCCTCCGGGACCATGGGCGGTTATCCTGACGAGGGAAACTCTGCAAGAATATCAACTAGGGCATGGGTGGGGAGTGATATGCAGCACATGTAAACGAGAATACAGCATATAAACGCCATTGCCTATCTACTTAAAGTGACTCACTTACTGACTTCCCATATGTCACCTATTTATTTCAGGATGGGGACATCATGTTACACTATCTAAAGGTGCACAGCACCCTATGTTTACTATCAGGCACGGATGCTCCTGTATTCAACATTACAGTATTATTATTAAGGAGGTGTGTAGCCCGCACATGGCGGTGAAGAACCCCTTTACAGCAAGGCCCTGCCATTTCTACAACACTGTGGAAGTCACATGGTGACAATACTATGGCTATCAAGTTCATCTTATCATGTATTATGGACATGACTGCTGCTGTTTGATACCTCACCACCTACTTTTGCCTTACTAAACTTACCATAACTACTTCCTGTTCTGGTTATTACCCAGCTAGTGGTTGTGGAGGCAGATTGTCTCTATATATCTCTCTACAGTCTATATATACCTGTTTAGGTTTTATTGGGCAACTATATCCATTGTCTGGTACTTATGATCAGCCATATACTGCATTGATTGTTATGCCATTTTGGTACCATTTTTTGAAACACACCCTACATGGCGGTGTAACCATTGTGTCAGTGCTGCATATGTATTAGAGACCAACTGTCATTATATTTGCAGCACTTTATTACTTTGACTGGTCATGACGTCTGTTTTTAAGTGATTTTAGGTCAATTTTGATGTATTATCTCATACTGAGGTGATGGCTAACAGAGGTATTTTTTAATTACTTTGAGTATCGCTTTCTGTCCATTATGTAACCGCTTTTCTGTGAATCTCTTTTCACGTTCCTTTTTGCTGTATGGTTTTTTTTTTTTGTTACTGGGCAGATAATGGATGTTTAGAGATATGTGTTATTTATAAGTACCTTATTTTTCTAATTCTACGAGACATTAAGTGCCCACTGCTTTGTCCAAATCTTAAAAAGTTTTTCTTTTAGTTACTTTGAGTCTTTAAATTACACTTATATCTTGATGAATGATGCATGTGCCATCAAAAAATGATTATAAATATTATACAGACAATCTTTAGATATACAGTATAGAGTGTTGGAGAAGGATGTAACAAACCAACCTTTCTATGATCACTGAGGTCTTGAGCAAGGCTGTTTAGGTCAGTTTATTACATTATTTGCATCTCTTTCCATATCTTCTCACCCTCTTATACTCAAATGGACTGCCCCCACCTTAAAATTCCCCAGTTTTGCTTATTTCCAACTGAATCCATATTTAATCCATTTATTGTTATGTTTTATTGCAACAATGTTATGCTGCAGAGGCACGCTCACAATTTTAGACAAAAATGTAATATATTGCAGTTTACCAATTCTGAAAATGTGTTGGCATGTTTGTTTATTTTTTTTTAGGCTTTTTTCCTTGGTTTGGTGATTCTGCTAGTAACACACTTCCTGTCTTGGGTAGCTTTACTTTGGGGAGGAGCAACAGAGTCATTGTCAACCTGTGGGGAGTGTAATGTTAAATACACTACCAAATATAGATGGACTTGACTAACAAATTATATCTAACACCTTTTTAGCAGGTACAGCAACAGTTTTTTTGTTCCTTTTGGGATAATGGTTTGTCTCAAAACTCTACCCCCACTCTTGTTGGACAGCTTGGTCTGATAAAGGAAGTTGAAGAATAGCACACCTACTGACTATCACCAGGTGAAAAAAAAATGCTAACGAGGAAAGACTACAAAAGAAAACACTAACTCAGAAGCAACTTTAAGGATTGATAATCTGCAATATAATACATTTTTGCTTTTGCATTTAGATGTGCTTTAGTGTATGTAACTCCAATGTTACTAAAATGAAACACATCATCCTAATGTGATCACTGATTAAAAGGTGCTTGTCTGTTTTTAGATACTAGACTAGAATGTGATTCTTCTGCTGCAAGGTAAAAAGAGTTTCTTTTGGTCAATGACTATTAACATATATACGGTATATATATACACACACACACACTTTCTCATATTTATCCCACTTTGCCTGAAACACTTGCCTAAAAAACATACATATGCAAATTTTATAGTGTGTACTAATTCAAATATACTTTTCTTTTATTTTCCTCAGGTGCAGCATATATGGCAACAATGCACATACAACTCATTCCTATAATAGGGCTGCTCCTTATGGGCAGTGTATTCTCCCAATATGCTCAGTATGGTTATGATTATGGTTCACCAGATGATTACTATTCAAACTTCGCTATGGGACCTTCTACTGCTAACTGTGCCCCAGAATGTAATTGTCCGGCAAACTACCCATCTGCAATGTATTGTGACAATCTTAAATTAAAGAAAATTCCTATGGTCCCTTCTGGCATTCAATATTTGTACCTCCAGAACAATATGATTGAGGGCATAGATGATGATGCATTTAAAAATGTGACCAATCTCAAATGGTTGATTCTAGACCACAATCACCTGACCAATGCAAATATTAAGAAAAATGCATTCTCTAAGCTAAAGGAGCTACAGAAACTTTATATAAGCTTCAACAATCTCACTGAACTTGTGGGGCCACTACCAAAGACCATGGATGACCTGCGTGTAACCAACAATAAGCTCGCGAAGATTACCCCTAACATTTTAGAGGGCTTAGAGAACCTTACTGTTGTACATCTACAACACAACAAACTGAAAGAAGATTCTATTTCTGGTGCATTTAAAGGCTTAAAATCACTTGTGTACCTCGATCTAAGCTATAATGAGCTCACAAAGTTACCAATGGGAATTCCATCAGGCCTAAGCATGCTTTACTTTGACAATAATAAAATCAGCAATATTCCTGATGAATATTTCCAAGGTTTCAAGGGGCTACAGTATCTTCGCCTATCTAACAATCAGCTCAAAGATGCTGGTGTACCTGGAAATGCTTTCAATATCTCAACCCTTCTTGAGCTGGACCTTTCATTTAATTCACTTTCAACCATTCCAGCAGTGAATGAAGGCCTGGAAAACCTCTATCTGCAAGTCAACAAAATCCAGAGTGAGTTGATAAATATATGTGTTGGTTGTGTTACATACATACATACAGATATAGAATATTTAAAGTATAACTAAAGGCAAAGCTTTATTTTTAGTTTTGAATAGAGAGCAGAGGGATTAGAACACTTGTCAGTTTTTATTGCTATCTGTGCCCCCATTAGGGTTAGTCTCTCTAATTGTCCTGTTTATCATTATCATTGAAAGTGAAAATCCCAATATTTGAGCTGTCCCCAGAAAAGTAATAGAGGGGAAATCTTCCAATGGGGACACTAGTTCTGGTGGCCTGGGGGTCCCCAAGGAATTCCCTTAATTTGCAGGAATTTCCTCTCACTTCCTGTTTGGCTATGGGACAGGAATTGAAGGATAATCTCTGCAATGAGATACAGATGGCGAACAAAAATCTGACAGGGGTTATAATCCCCTTGCTCTATCCAAAATGAAAAAAAAAAAGTTTTGCCTATAGATCTTAAAATAGTACAATGAATGGAAATCAAAGAAAGTAAAATGCACGTGTAATGGAATTGTATTGGATATTTGTGAACATGAAGATTTATGGATACCGTGAACCAGCTCATTTTTTACTGGTTATGCATTTTTTTTTATGTTTCAGTTTGCAGTAACATTAAGGCTCCATGCACACTAGCAGTTTTTTAAGTTTCTAGAAGCTGTTAATAGCATTTTTTTTCTGCTCCTAGAAGCTAAACAGTGTTATCCTATGTGTCCATGCACACTACTTTAGGCTATTAGCATTTTTTGAGCTTCAGCTTCTAGGAGCAGAAAAAAAAGTTTTTTGGGGAATTTATTCCAGCAAAAAAACGCTAAAATGCTTCTAAACGCTACTAAATGCTACTAAAATGCCACTAACAGCTTTTTTTCTATCTTCTTTTTTTTCCTACATGTACTGTAAAACAATGCTAAAGCTCCTAAATGCTCCTAAACACTACTAATGCTACTAAAAAAAATTCTATTACCAGTGTTTTCTATCCAGCATTTTTTTAGCTTAAAAAAAAACAAAAACGCTAGTGTGCATGTAGTCTACTAGCTGCAACGTCAGCTGTCTACCTTCCTTAACACAACATACATAGTCATATCAACACTAAAGACAATTAGAGATGAAAAGATAAGCATTGCTGATTTAGTAAGTAGCCATGCTTCCTTCAAACCATTAGCCTAAACTGATACAGCTTATCCAGGCCCAGGCCTAGCCATGCTAGGAGTACCAAATTTATGCAAACTCACAGGAGTCAATTACATTTCTATGTAATGCTGTCTGATAATTAACAATTAATTGCTGTTTGTTTACTAATAGCTACAGCAATATACCAGTTTTGTGTTACTAAATAGGGTCATAAGAGGGCTAAGTGAGAGCTGTTTTATAGTACTGTACCTGTTTCAGCCTTTTAAACTACTTAGTCAAACTTTTTTTGTTTTGGGTAGTGTAGGGAAGGTCTAGGACTTCTACTAGGTTTTCATTGCTGTATGTGTCCCTACTAGGGATTCAACTCCTATTTGTCCTGTTGAGTATTCACTTTGAGATGTTTTTTTCTTGGTGGTGATGTTCTAAATATAGCATGAATGGCAGTAGAAAGATTATGCCAAAGTGTCTCTCTACAATGACATTGCTAACAAAAATGTTGCATTGCTTGAACAATAGTCTTACAGTCTGCAGTTTCACCTCTGGGCCCAATCCACCATATATGTCAGTCTTACTTTTGCATTCTTTTACTAAGACAAACAGTGGCTCCCTTTGACAAATTTAAAAGCCATTTCATACATACTGATAGTTGATGATGTGAAACTCCCTATCACTGCAATATTATAACATACAGTAATGATAAGTATAAAGAATATCATGTTCACAATATGCTGTTAGCAACAATAGTCCACACAACTGCCTGGATGGCTGGGGGTTTACCATATTATACCCATGCATAATTACTGCAAACTATTATTCTTACAGTATTATGTGAAATGACTTGAGTCTCTTGAAAGCTATAGTAGGCTCGTTGTAAAACGAAACTGTCACTAAATCCACATCTAAACCCACCAAAAAAACTATAAAAAAATGTTGTATTACATGCTGTTTATACTCATTCAGTCACAGAAGATGGAGATGAACAGAAGATGGAGATAGAGAGCAGAAGGATCAACTAGGTTTTTTGCAGAATACAGAAAATGAATGGGATTCATTTTCTGTATTCTGCAAAAAACCTGGTTGATCCTTCTGCTCTCTATCTCCATCTTATGTTCATGTCCTGAATTCAGCTGTAGAGACAACTCTGCACATGCTCAGTTTTCACTGAGTTTCTATGCTAAACATTTGCTCCCTATCACATTCGAGCAGCCCATGTGACTATAGAGTCATACATGTGGGCATATACACAGTGATAAATGACAGCCCCCTCCCTCTCTCTTCCTCCATGTCCACTAACCAGCTAAACAAAAGATATTACATGCAGATTAATGGAGGAATCACATCCCTCCTATTCTAAGACATAGGCTGGACAGAGCCTGTGACCTGCAGAAATCCACCCACACCTTGTAATTTCCACAAAATAATAAAGATCTGATTATATATACAGTATATAGTATATATATATATATATATTATATATTTCCAATTTAAAACAGTTTATTGATATTATTTATTGATTTTTACTCTGCATTTCAAATGCTGTTTTTTTTTATTTGAACATGAGACTAGCAGAAGAAGACTAGAATCTCCTCCTGCTTATGTTTCCCTGCAGACAGGCTGGGAAAGAGCTTGGTCATTTTACAGCTGTATATCAATAAGGAAAAAAGTACTTAGATTTTTTTAAATCAAAATAATTGCAGTGACATCATCCATATACAGAAATAGAAGAGAAAATGTAAATGAAACAGTATGTGTTTAGTGTCACAATTCTGTATTTAGTACTTGCAATTTTCAAATATAAGCATGAGAAATAAAACTACAACATCATAAAAAAATAAAATTATTACAGAATGTATCAATGTTAATAAGCTACCAAACATTGTATTAAATACTTACTATTAATCATTATAACAGTTGTTGCTATAACCGCTGTCCTGCCCTCTTCAGTCAATGTTGAAAGCTCTCTGTTGTACAGATGATGCAATCCGGAACCATTATCATTATTAAACATCATCTAGAAGCTATATAAACCAAAATGTATTTAACTGCAAGCCATCATGCAGTTTTGGGATCCACACAGCCCTGTCACACAGAACTGCAAGAAAGAGGAGCAGCAGAATAACAAGGCCATTACTCTGCTAACTTTCCTATTAGCAAGTTCTTTCTCAGCACATATGTATGTAGCACACCTGATTGGCTTCCAAAGATGGCCCTGTCTCCTCCAGGCTGAGTGCTTTTGTACATGTAGTTAAAATAGACTTGCATCAAAATATGAGTACTTCAACTAATTAAAATTTTTTTTAAACATGCATAAATAAATGCATAAGCTCTATTGATCTTTGTCTTTTATATTTGGTAGGAGTTCAGCTTTTACAGTTTTGAGAGCTTTTGCAATGAACAACTAAGCAAGAGCTATGTGAGCCATTTTATTGGTTCTGGATGATATACAGAAAAGTAACAGCAGTGCTTGCATAGAGAAAAATCAATCTGAAATACACAAAAATATATATTTGAGCCAACATTACAATATAAGGAAGTTTGCCAACAAAGTCATGGCCTTTAGTGGGGGAATGATGCAGCCATTTCCTGATTGGAATTTGATTGCATGATGTATAGTGATCCTAAATATCCAGTAGTAGATAAAAGTAGTAATAGTGACAGTAGTAGCAGCACTAGTGTTATTTGCATTGTTTGTACAATTAAAAAGTTTGTTGTTCAAAATGAAAATAAATAAATACAAAAAAATAGGTCCCATTTAAAGTAGACCTCTATTTAGGGGTTAATTCAAGGCAAAAACACTGTTGAGATTTTTCTCAGAGCCTATGGTGGCAAAGAAAGATTTAAATTGTACCAGTTCAGCAGGGAGCAGTCACATTTTGATCCATGTGAGACCACTGCAGTTAAACAGAAGCTGATCTATCAACCGGTCCGATAAAAGCCAATCAATGGGGGAATCAGTTCACCTTTAGTGAATGAGGTGAAGCTCTGTGGACATCTATCATCTAACAATGTGCAAGCAACAAAAATACAGTTTTGTCCTTGTACATAATTGGGTATTCTTTGCAAAGTGAAACTCCACCAAATTCACTACACACTGGTGAAAATTGAACAGCCCATTTGCCCTTAAAAATGCAAATCCCTTAAATCCCAAAGTTTGCCTGTTTACAAATCATTCACTAGCACAGTATGAAAAGACAAATCAATCAGTAAAAAAGAGAACTTATTGCTCATAGATTCCAAAGCAGGAGAAGGAGCACTTCAGCATATACAGCCATGAGCTGTATGCACAGGAGCATCTAGGCACCACAAATACCAGGAAAGACTACTGTATTTCATGGTAAATTCCAGACAAAAAGTGCATTTTTCAGTGTACTACTTTGGCACACTTTATATTTCTGGATGCTTCTTAAAGACAGCAAATCTTAACTATTTTTGAGTTCAGGTCCAATTTAAGCTTGGCTTGGATATCTACAAACAGTTGTTTGGAAGTTACATCAAATAAAACTAAATATAACATGTTCAAAATTATTGAAAAAATGTTTTCTTCTTAGATTCTCCTAGCATGAACTAATTAGCACTTTTGAAAGGTTAGCTTTGATAGATTTCAGTTATATGTGAGGTTGAATTGTCTTGATTGTTCCAAATTCTATTTCTGCATTGCTCATGTTCTAAATTCAAAATCTTGTCTGGAAGATATACCTTGATGCAACAGGTGAGCTAACTGCAGAACTCAAGGCATAGATCTTGCCTTTACAACTCACAAAAAATATAAGAATCTTCTAACTGATATTGGGGTTTTTGTGAGATTTTCTTTTAATTGTTTGGAGGATTCTGGTGCCAGCACACTTTTTGTTTCTGCATATCTTTCAAACGGATGTGCATAAAATTCTGTGGGAATTATCCACTGAAGTATTTGTGACCCTTTCCTGGTGTTATGGTCATTGGTATTATGGTCATGAAAGCCATGCAACAGTTTGCCAACATGTGCAACAAATTCAGAAAGCATTTATGCACAACACATTCACATTATGGCACTGGGTCTGTGAGAAACTCTGATATAATGATGATAAGAAAAGTGGGGGTAAATAAGGCCTCTTACATGTCGGACTAATCAGTGGCAAACACTAAATATTATGTCACAGTCAAAATTCTGCAACAGGGAGGAGAGAGATGGAAGTGTCAGTTGGAAGGTCTTGTGTCACCCGTCCATATTCGAACAGTTGAGGAGAGTCTTGAGCATCATCGCATTGCAAAATGTTGACATACACAGGTGTAGTTTTATAATGCAGCCAACACTGCCAATTTTGTGATAGGCAGAAATTTTTCTCTCTCAGGAGGTGTATATCAAATCATTCATCATTGCTGCTTTGTTCCGATGGGCAAAACAGTGTCCAACTGATAGAATGGATTTTTTTTTTTTTAAATTGGTCAGTATTAATTATATGCATAACAAGGAATATGTGAAAAGAATGTTGCATTACCACTGAATGCTGAACTAGATAATTAGTACATAAGGCAAGATAAAAGTCCAAGGCAAAGTTTGTGACATTTGAAACGATTTCATGGACTTTAGACCAATATCTGCATATTGCTGACAGATCCACCAAATATGTAAAAATGTCCCTTCTGCCATATCACACCTCCAGCACCAATCAGTCATTTGGTGATAGATCTTATGTAATAGAGCAGGGGTTCTATACCACCTACTGAAAATCCTATAATTATGCTCTTGAGATTACACATTTAATGAGCCTTTGTAGATTGATAAGAAAATTCACAACCAATCCTCATCAGAAATGGTTTCTCCCAGGTCTAACACCCATACCTTAATAGGTACTTCGGAATTTGTAGGGGAATCTCTGGTAAGCATTTCATAGATGGTCGACATAAGGTGAAATTGTGGAGAATCTGCAAGACAGAGCTATTCAAAGTATGTAAAGGGTCTACGGAAAATTGGTTTCCTTTTTGGAATGAGTCTGTAAATTAGACTATACTGATACTGGAGTATCTATCAAGGTATCTGGTTAAAAACCTCCATGCTAGAAAAAGAATACAGCTTTAGGTACCAGTTTGAAAGCTAATTGTTTTGGGAACCCAGAGGGAAGTTGGGATTAGAGAACAGTGAAGACATAGGGAAAGGAGTAGAAGTGAGATTTGTCAGTTTGCTAAGTCTGTATAGAAGCTGAAGCAAGATCTCTATGAGAGGGGGATCTAAAATCATATCCCATAATGGTCCCTTTTTAATCCAGGGGATAGAGGTTAGGGATGATTGAGAGAACATTTGAGCCAGTCTTTTAAGGTACCATGTACTTGCCAGTCTACAACCCTTTGCAGCAAACAGGTTCTGTAATAAGTATGAATGAATGGAAAACCTATACCCCCTCTGTCTTTAGAGGGTGAAGGCTGGGATAATCTTATTCTGGGCATCTTAGATTTTCAAATAAATAAATCCTTTACGCATGGCTGCAAAAAGAGTAGAGGGCAGTTCGTATGTATGATATCATCGTTTGTATGATATATACAATTCTAGGGAGAACTGTCAAGCTTGCATTTTTAATTAATTTTCTGTCTTTGTTTTGTGGTAAGCAGAGACAGAATACTGCCATATGAATTTTATCTACATAGAATTCTTCAAATCTGTCAGACCCAATGCATTCTGAGTCTTTGCAAAAGGACTAACATGTCAATAGAATTTAGATTTATATATTTTGCTTGGATGCTTTGATAACCACTCCAATTAGTTATATTAGAATGAAAATTAACATGATGATGTTAAATCACATAATAGCAGTACTATAAATTTTAATATCTTTCCTTCCTTGTTACAGAACTAACCGTAGGCAGCTTTTGTAAAGTCATCGGCCCACTGGACTACTCCAGGATCAGACACCTGCGTTTGGATGGAAAACAACATTACCCGATCTGAAATTCCCAATGAGATTCACAACTGCCTCCGCTTAGCTTCAGATATTGAGTTGTAAAGTGAAACATTTGTATAAGCAGTGGTTCTCAAGCTGATGACTCCTTCTTTCATTCATTCATTCATTCATTCAGGTCAATGAAATCCATTAAGTATACAATATAATAAAGCACAAATTCTTACATTTTTGTGTTTAAATTAAATGCATGTGGTCCAATTGTAAAGATTTAAGGCAAAGATAAAAGATCATTCTACATATGTAAAGGGAATCTTTAACTAACCTATAGCATATGATGAAAATATGAAAAAAATATTAAAACCCCCTTGATGGGGAAAGAAATTCTCTTAAAAATGTAAAAATAATTCATGAATATTATCTTGTAAGGAACAGTAAATGTATTTGGATTGATTTTTAAAAGTGCTGGCATTTTTCTCTATCTTTACAACTGGTCCAGTGAAAATATTTTACGTTTTTCCCAGCTGCACAATTTATAGCCATGTTGCACATCTATGTTACATTTTGCAAAACATTTAAAATGCAATAGATAGATATATAAATAGTTATCTTACAGAATAGTGTGTGACTATAAGTTAACTGGTTTATTTCTCAGAGATGTCAGCTGGTGTAAAGAACTGATGGAGACCTCCACTGGGCTGTCATTGGGAAACATCAACTCAAACACAAATGCTAATTGTAGATTGTTAGTCATTACTACTACTACTGCTACATGAAGCATAGTTCCTAAATGTATGTAGTGGCTGTAACACACAGATTCTGTATGTTTTTTTTTATTTTAGTAAAAAATGTAGTGTGTATAAATTAAGCCTTTGGACTCCTCTTTTCTATTAAATACAATCATTTGATGTCAAAAACACAAGTGTTCTCAGGTATCGGAGTCCAGTAACAAGGTAAGAGGAGAGTAGTATACTTTGCATATTTATAACATTCTTTAACAGAGGCACAATGCCACAATTTCTTTAAGGCTGAACTTCAGGCAAATAACTGAATAGGCAACTGAAATACATATATAGGAGCAGTGTTATCTGCCAAAAGACTTCCAATTCTGACCTTCTAGTCCTGAGACTTATACAGCACTGCTAGACTGGTGATCTGTCTTTTCTTTGCTTCAGTTAGGCTAAACAGCTAGGTCGCATACTGTACCTGCCACCATCATGTGACTGGACAGTGAAAGAGCAGCAACAGACTGATGAAGTTATCTCCTTGTTCTCTGCTACTGTCAGCATGTTCCTTGTTAACAAATATGAAGAAAGACTCCTCATCAGCCTGAAACACTTACTCTCCCTCTACTAGTCTGATTGCTGCTGTAAAGGATAGTACAAAAGGTTGTTATCAAGGCTAATTCAGGTATATGTAATAGTTGCCTGGTGTTCAGCTTTAAATTTCTGTGTGGACCTAACATCAGTCACATTAGATATGCTATTCCAAGAATAGTAAATTGTTATATTTTAGATTTAACAATATGCATTTACATTTTTATGCATTTTCCTCTGTTGGTTAAAAGCGGAAAACCCATTTTGCACCTGTGTGATGACTAGGATAATGTTGCATCCATCTGACCCTACACATTAAATTATCTGATCTCAGATCTTGAAGGCTCTGTGGGCAAAATTCTGGGCACTTGTTAACTTTTTTGGTTGGGGTAAAGACAATATAATATCTGCAATTAGAACAGTTCATATAATACATTTTCCCATGTACAGCACTTAAAGTGATTATGCCACCCTAAACTATACATTAATGGCAGGTACAGTCTTTGTCCGACAACAGGAAATGCAACATAACTTTACTATCTTTTTTCAGAGTTGCTCTTGCATACTCCAAGCACTTACAAATCTATGGGCTTGCTGTATGCTAATCCCAGAGCTAAAATGGTCTCTCTTAAAAGCATGTATCAAGATTAGCATATAGCGTACTCCTGGGCTTGGCATTCCAAAACCTAAAAAGGAACAACTTTGAAGCCAATTAAATGTATGGGTAGATACCTTGATTTTCTACTATATGGCAAATACTGTGACTGTAACTTTGATATGACATATTTACTTTTCAAATCACTCCCACTATTGGTCACATGAAAAGCCTAATCCCCTTCCAATTTTAAAATAGCATTCTTCAGTTGATATCCCAGTGTCCATACTAGCAGTTGACAGTTGAATACCAGACAACAAAGGGTAAAAAAAATTCATGCAATTGAATAAACTTGCTCACTTTGTCTCATATCAGGAATAGCCTATCCGGTAATAGAAAAACACGAGCATCACTGAGGGTCAGAAATGGTTTCCAATTAACAAGATGAAAAGTTATACATTTTCTTGAAGCATGATATGCAGTATCAAGAGTAACCTGCTGTATGGATTGGTCTATTTGATAAGCAATAAAACCTTCTTTTTATAATGTTCTTGTTGCACCAAAGCTATTCATTTATCAAGTACGGTAAGAATAGAAGACCTTATTAATTGCATTTACTTTTCATTATTTTTAGATTAAGTTGCTTCATTTGCATGATATTGCAGTAAGATTAAAAAATTATTTAATAAATAACTGAAAGAAATCAGCTTGGGCACCGCTGACCAAATATAAAAAAAATTAGAATGTTTTTAACATCTTCCTATCAGGATACAGGGTATGCATACTAACCCTTAGTACTAACGAGTAGCATGACTTTAATAGTCACAATGTTTTTTTTTTTTTTTCTAAAACTATATCTACGTGCAAGGAGTACCATAGACACAAACACACATTGTTCAAAGTGAAGTAAGCACCATATGCTGTGCTTGTTAAATAGTTCTTTAAACTGTATCTTATAGCTCTAGTAGCACTTAAGGGCTATTTAACTTACATTGTAATTAGAAGAAAAAAAGAGAAAAAAACATTCTGTTATTGCAAAATTGTTTTTATCCTACACTTATATGTTTTTCTAGCCAAAAATCTAATTAAAGGGCAGCCTCCTGTAAGCCTCATTTAATCTGACCCTAGTTTATTCTTAGAATACTCCATCTAACAGTATCTGTGCTTAGAGGCTGCTATAAAACTCTTTATTACACACTCTCCCCATTACATCAATTCCTAAATAGCAGCTGTGAAAACTCTGAAAAATTCAGCTTTATCTTTAGGAGTCTATGAAGCTTGCAATGATACAATGACATCAACCCTTCTTTCTATGATGGCAGAAATTGTTTTCTGATGCCTGAAAGCATAGCCAATAGAAAAAAAAAAAATAAAGCCAGCCAATACTAGAGAGTTGTGGCATGAGAGCTTACAACAACCTCTATGCATGGGTACTGTTGGATGGGTTGGCACAAGGAATAGCTATGGTAACTTTAAATTCTTTGGTATTGTTGTCAAATCATACAATAAGTATACCTGTAGTAATGGTGCTCCTGAATTTTGGTTATTGTAAATTCTGTACATTTTGCATAATTACCCCCTTTTTCTGTGATACTATAATTGTAAATTATAATGAAAAAGCTGTCAATTTTTAAAAATATGCTATACAACATATAATTTCTATAAACAATAACATTTTAAATGTAATTTTTCATTCCAACCTATGTAACAGTGACTGTGTTTTAACCTAATTGGTCTGACTTTTAATGTTTTCAGTCCTGTTTCTTAATGTGAATATTAAACATAATTTTTAATTAAGCATAAAAAGATTTTACATTTTGATTTGAATGTGTATTTCGTTATAGTGCCTATTTGAGTGATGTTTATTTTAACACAGAAATGAAAAAAATAAAGTAACAGCTTTCACTTAAAATAATCTTTAAAATCGACTTTTGTGAAAAGTAAAAAATTGCCTCAGTGGTACATTATGATATACCACTAGATTTTCCTTTTTTTCCAACTTGATCAAGGTTTTAGTTTGAGACTGGCCAGCATCACTGGTGATACTTTCTTGCTTTAATACCGGCCAGTGACCCCAACATGAATTACATAAATTTTCTTAACTGATGAATATTAATGTTAGCTGCTCTTGCTCTTTAAAGCAAACCTGTTAAATTCACCTTTTTTTGCAGTTGCTAATGTCCTGTCTGGGAGCTGGTTAACAAGAAATGAGTCTTGGCATTGTTTATTCACTCTTTTTTAGGTTATTTATTCATTTATTTTACTTATTGTGCTGCATAACTTTAGATTGATGTTAACCCATTTAGATTATTTATTTGTCTAAGTCAGTTAGCTCCAAAGCAGACTTTGGGGATGCTAAAAGCGGAGCTCCACCCAAAAGGGGAAGTTCCGCTTTAAGGACTGCTCCCCCTCTCCCCATTAAGGATTGGCACCTTTGGGGGGTGGGGGGAACAGGTACCCGAATTTGACAGGTACCAGCACCCACTTCCAGTCCGATCGCTTAGGCAATCCGAAGCGGAAGGTGTTCTCCCTTCCTCTCTCCCTGTAGTCTTTTGGGACACGTGACAGGTCCCAGAAGACCACAGTACCGTTTGCGAAGAGCAGTGCTACTCGCACATGCTCAGTGGGTACTTGACTGTGAAGCCGCAAGCTATCACAGCTGGGTGCCCACACTGAAGATGCCGGCCTCCTGGAATACAGGACGGCCGTGAAACTGGCTGCGGGGGACACACCACGGTACCGAGGGACAGGTAAGTGGCTATTTTTTAAAAGTCAGCAACTACAGTTTTTGTAGCTGCTGACTTTTATTTTTTGATAGGCTGAGTGGAACTCCGCTTTAAGTACGTGGAGCTTTTCTTCTTTTTTTTGATGATACATACTGTATTTCTTTCATTGGATTTCCGGGGGCATATCTTTGGTGTACTGTAAAGGACTGAGCAGTACCAAATTAAAAGCCATCAGAATGTGCACTGCTCTTAACATTTCAGAAAGTAATTCAATTGGCTGATGCTAAAATAAAATTTTTAGATATTGCTTTATACATATTTTGTTTAAGACATCCCCTACCAGCACCAAATAGAAAGAAAACTCCTAGTGCCTGCAAAACTGGCCAATTGTCTTACTCTGCACTTTTGTGTTTTGTATCCTGTGGATACAACTGAATGCTAGGCTGTTCAGATTGGAAAAACTACAAC